AGCTGTTGGAGTTTCTGTGGAAGGGGATGGACTGCTTGTGAAAGGCGTAGTCTCAGAGCTCGTTGGTGTTCCAGAAGAAGCTGTTGGAGTTTCTGTGGAAGGAGATGGACTGCTTGTGAACGGCGTAGTCTCAGAGCTCGTTGGTGTTCCAGAAGAAGCTGTTGGAGTTTCTGTGGAAGGAGATGGACTGCTTGTGAACGGCGTAGTCTCAGAGCTCGTTGGTGTTCCAGAAGAAGCTGTCGGAGTTTCTGTGGATGGAGATGGACTGCTTGTGAACGGCGTAGTCTCAGAGCTCGTTGGTGTTCCAGAAGAAGCTGTTGGAGTTTCTGTGGAAGGAGATGGACTGCTTGTGGAAGGCGTAGTCTCAGAGCTCGTTGGTGTTCCAGAAGAAGCTGTTGGAGTTTCTGTGGAAGGAGATGGACTGCTTGTGAAAGGCGTAGTCTCAGAGCTCGTTGGTGTTCCAGAAGAAGCTATTGGAGTTTCTGTGGAAGGAGATGGACTGCTTGTGAACGGCGTAGTCTCAGAGCTCGTTGGTGTTCCAGAAGAAGCTGTTGGAGTTTCTGTGGAAGGAGATGGACTGCTTGTGAACGGCGTAGTCTCAGAGCTCGTTGGTGTTCCAGAAGAAGCAGTCGGAGTCTCTGTTGAACTTATTGTCCAGGGTAGCAAGGTTTGCAAGGTCTCCCATATTAATGTAGATGTGCTTTTTGGTTCGTTCGTTTCAATTTCCGTTGGCTTCGTATTAGGAGGCAATGTTGAGGTGGTGGTTAACTTCGGAGGTTTTATTGTAACGAATGGATTTGGGCGTGTTGAGACGTTTAAGCGCAACTTGCACAGCTGATTTAACTGAGTGTGGTTGTAGCACGTGTTGCAAGTTGCTCTGCAATTTTCCTGATACTTTGCCAAATGACATTGCGCTCGGTTGCAAGCGGTTTTCGGGAAGTAATCCCAGCATTCTGCAACGGACGTTTAGTATTATTCGCTTTCGTACCTGTATACGGTCGTTTCGTATCACAATCCTCACAGGTCAGATCACAAATGTCCCGTAAGTGCGTGTTGCACGCCACCGGGCCAAAGTATTTGCAGCATGGGTCTTTGTCGAAGCACCACTCATTTATCGGCCGGGGCCTGTATCCCGGCGCCCAAGTTGTGCGCTCGGCGGATTTGAGCCTGCATCTGACCGTACAGTCATTGCCTTGGCAAAAACCCATAACACAGTCGTAGTTGCCTTTTGCGGCACAAGCTTCGTGCCCGCCGTTGTCGCACGTGCATTGGTCGGCGGGGCAGTCGGGTAGACCTGAAGTGCGCAATAAACGATGTGCCGACACAAGCAAGATATTCATTTTTTGCAATTTAGAAAAACAAGTTTTGGGTTAAATTTTGTCTGACACGAACTAGACGCAACAACACACGGAAAGAGTCATTTTTATTCAGGTATCAAAGCGCATGTTCTGGAAAAAATGCGTTTTTTTATATATGTTCCGCTAGGAAAATAGTGTCACATTGAAGATCGCATCGCCGCCGAAAAAAATGCGCTGTGTCGCGGTAAAATCAAATTACTTTCAATTCCGCAACGCGTTCGGCGCAGCGCTATTGTATTCATTATTTTCCCGACATACTTATGTCATCCAAGCCGTGCCCAGCGTGTTTAAATTTGAAAGAATAGAATCTAGTATCTAGTATTTGCATACTAGGTGCTAGTATGCAAATCAGTCACGAAAATTTTCTTGAACTTTATTATTTTTTGGCAAATATGCAATGCTGACAGCGCCGATAATGCTTTCCAAAGGCCAATTTTTTCCTCCACTCACCAATGTTAAGAGGAATATGTATCCGATCCTTGCGTCCGACGACGACGTTTCCGCATATCAGCAACAACCAGAACACATACACATATGTACACCTCATTAGACGATGGAAAGAAGTGAAACAAGAAGCGTAAAATTAATGTCCTGTGGGCCTGGGAAATGCTAATTTTTGCAAATTACATCGGTATGCTTTGCGGGGTTTTCGAACAGCGCTTGGTTTCTGGAGCGGAGCGATGATTGAATATTAATTTTAAACGGGACTGAGGGCAATCGTTGTTATTTATGATGCAGTTTAATTTTGCAACGAATTAACACGTCAATCCGACTTCTGTATGTGCAGGATGACCCTTTTTTGTTTTTTATAATTTTCATTTCAAGTTTTGTATATTTTTTGACGTCTAGACTTTTCGGGTCGACAGCAGTTCTGGTCAACACAAAATCGAACGATACGAGGCGTAAGGCAGGTGGATACACAAAAAAAGGTTGTAGTAAGTAACTACGGGGTCTAGCAAGGTTGTTGGATAGTCGGGGACGCCCAGCGAAGGCTCGGCGGAGCCACGGCAAGCCTCGGCGGAGCCACGGCAAGCCTCGGCGGAGCCACGGCAAGCCTCGGCGGAGCCACGGCAAGCCTCGGCGGAGACTTGAAACATGTCTACTTTTTCTAAGTTTTGCTTTACTAACGTTAGCCTGCTTTTCCCTGAGTTATTGTAACATGTAAAAGACCAAAATTTGCGGCAAAAAACGAAGATCGGTGACTTTTATCTAGATTTTATTGATGTGAGTACATGTAAAACACCTCAAAATAGGTGATAGGCAATTCTAGGACCCGTTCAATCTTATTATTTCTACTAATTAAGATTCTCTTAGCTTCCCCGTGCATTTAACGACGAACTGGCGCGATCCATAGTATCGTTAACCGGAACTATCGCTGACACGAAAAATCGTAGCCCCATTTGCTTTTTGTCCTTGTTTTGGAGATTTGTTTGAGTAACTGTGCCTGAAATTCGGTTGGACTTATTCAAAAATCAACACCTGTTGAAACAAGATGTTTAGCCCACAACTTGCATACAATCTCTTTTTTTATGACGGAGTCATTGCACAGCTTCAATTGCTCGGAAGTTTGTCGTGCACGGGTGTTACTGTACCTCCATTTTTTAACGACTGCTTGACCTACTATTATTTGTAATCCTGCCAGCCAATTAAATTTTACCAATATTTTTACGTCATTTTTATTCATACTCAAATAAAATCATTCATATCTCTGCAGTTTCGACAGTGTAGTCAAAATACATCAAGTCCTGTGAGTTAAGGACTTTTACGAACTAATCGATCCATCGGAACTGGCACCTTGATGAGCGCGACGGTCTACCAAACGAACGAGCTCGGTGAAAAGCTGAAAAAAAAGTTTTATGAGAATGCAAATAAGCCGTATTTGAACTGTCACGGCACTGAGGCCGGAAATATGGCGGATCAGCTGTTTTTTATTTGTTTTCTTTGCCACTTCGCTATTATTTCTCTCTTTGAGGATAAAAGAGATTACGTCGAAGGCTAAACTGGGCAAATATTCGAAAGAGGTTCGAGGAATTTTGATGGGAAACTTATGGTAAGGAAAGAAGGTTGATTTTTGTTGACTGATCGCCTACTATCAGTCTGTCGGGAAAATAATGAGCACAATGTCGCTGCACAGATTGCATCGCTGAAACAAAAATCAGCTTGATTTTGCCGCAATAAAATTCATCTTCCGGCGATCACGCGATTTGCGACGTGACAAAAAATTTGCTCATTATTTTCCCGGCAGATTTCTCGTCGGTTTGTGAAGTCGCTGGAGTGATTTGGCATGAAAAAAATTGCATTGCACTATGCAATCTGTTGCTTTTTGCATCGTGCAGCAGGCCTTGACTTTTTCTACACAGTAAAACGCCAAAAATCACTCCAAAGATTTTACGAACAGGCTATCAGTCTGTAGGGAAAATAATGAGGACATTTTCGTATCTCGCCGCCTAGAAAATAAATTGCGTCACGGCAAAATCAAATTAATTTTCACAATTGCATTGTTAAGTTGTGCTCATTATTTTCCCGACAGACTGATAGTAAAGTATTGGAGTGCTGAAGTGAATGAGAAAAAGAGGTTCGATTTCTCGTGATAAAAAGGTTAAACTCTTTACAAAACATCTTCTAGAGCCCTCCCTATGTGGCATTTTATTAAAGGAGTCTCATCATCTAGTAAGTCCTTTTTCTACAACACTTGTCATCACCAAAAAACCTTACCTCATTGACGTTATCGTTCTCCTTCGCTGAGACTTTGAAGAACGGCGCATCATAATTTTTGGCGATCGCTTCGCCATCTTCAGAGTTAACTTGGACATCCGACTGAAGATCTGATTTGGTGGCAGCGAAGATAATGGCCGGCTGAAAAGATGTATATATTAGTCTATAGCATATACTATAGTATATAACACAATTCAAAGTCTGTTTCCATACCTTATCGCCTCTCAGGCTCGCGATTTGATCCGCCAAATCTTGTGCCCTCATTAGACTGGCCGGATCGACCGTTGAGTAGAGCAGAACAAAGCCTTGAGCCGAGATCAACGCTTTCCGAATGTCCGCATCCTCATTGCTATCGTCCAAGATGCTCAGCATGTATCGCGCTCGGATTTGGGCAAAGTCCGTGATCGGCTTGATGACTTGCTCGCGATCGGAGCGCCCAAAGAACAGGTTATTGAGGTATTGCGTTCGTGCCAACTGAGTCTTTCCGACACCAGGCGCACCCAACACCGCCACATTGCACTTCTTGATCCCGATCTCGGAGTCGGATTCGTAGAATCCGCTGCTGGCTCTGAAATTCATAAATTTAATCAAGTTTCCAATTCTTTCGTAAAAAGAGGGAGGTACAGTAGGCACGCGTTGTCTCGTTATCTCATTTCATAATCGCTACTGTTGATTGCGCAACACGCGAAAACATTTGGCCGATAAACGGTCTGGGAAAACAAAAGTTTCGGCTAATTTCTCGAGAAAGGCTGCGAATGGCTCGGTAAAATTGCAGAAGAATTATTTATCAGTCTGTCGGGAAAATAATGGGCACTATGTCGTACCAAGAAAATGAATTGTGTTGCGGAAAAATCAAATTCATTTTCACTTCAGCGACACGATCGGCACAGCGACATTGTGCTCATTATTTTCCCGACAGGCAGATGTTATTGTTTACAAAGTCGGGAATGGTATGATATGATATTTTCTAAAGCTTCCAGATATCTTTATGAGGCTTGAATTAAAAGATTGCTTTGAAATTCGCTTTAATTTAATGCATTCATCTTTTCGTATATCGAAATACAAAAAGAGTCACAAAACTTACGACGAAGGGGCTGGACTGGTTGGCCGAGCTGTTTCTTCCGGTACGGACTCCATACAGTTCGACGGTTTGGCCTTGTTTCTGCGATTCAAGGCTCGGAGGACTTGGGCAAGAGCGTGGTTCTTGATTGGGGCAATCTGAAAGTCCAAGGTAACATAATTGTCATATGGCAGCCTCAAGTCAGGCGAAAATTTCGTCTAGCAAAGGCCGTCTTTGTGGTGAGTGGTCAAATTTTTTTAAAAATTTTTTGAAAAAAGTTTTCCGAGATATCAAGCTACGCACTCTTCGAGAGTGCCCGCAAGATGAGGAGAGTTGGTCAGACGAAAAAAATTTTTCTTTCAAAACTTTTTTGACTTTGATTTTTTGTCAGAACAATACACATAGCTCTAGTAATCGAGCCTGAGATATACAGCCCTAAAATCGCAAAATATTAATAAAAGGTGAAAAAAAAGGATTTGCGATTTTCGACGAAAAAATCTCACCCTTTTTTAAATATTGGAAGCCAGGCATATTGCACTTTTTGTTTGGGTACCCCATAAATATATACAAGCCATTTTCCCATTAGTTCTGTTAGCTCCACGCCAAAGACTCCCCTTCTAAGCCATGAAAACCGACAAAAACTTACACTGCTCGGCGCAGCTCCGCACACGGGACAACCAGGCGCTCTCAACGCCGCTTCATCCTTCATCGGAATCCTCAACGGGCTTCCATTCACCTCGCATTTGTCCAGTTCCATAAACTCGCTCAACAATTGCATTGTGCGTACTCCCATGACCGGAGTTCGTGCTTGTCGAATGTGAGAGCTGGTGAATTTTGGAGTGCGTTGAAGTTTCGAGGACAAGCTGCGTTTCGGTGTGTGTGGTTCCGGAGTGGGGGATTTTTGGCTGAGATAGCGGTGATCGCGTTGCAGGAGTTCTTCGCAACACAACGCGCACAGACTGTGGCCGCAATGCAGAGAGACGGGCTGGAAATTGGACAGTCCGTAAAAAAATTGCGCGGACGCCTTATTTTCAGAAGGTTAATATATTTTTTTAGTATAAAAAATGAATTTTTTTGTACCATCAATTTGTCGGAAAAATAATGAGCACTCTATTGCAAAAAAAAATCGCATCGCCGATGAGAAAAGGAACTGTGTCGCGGCAAAATCAAGTTTTTTTACTTCAGCGACGCCATCGGCCCAGCGACATTGTGATCATTATTTTCCCGACAGACTTGATAGCCTAAGGAATGCATTTTTTTGAATTATCAAAGAAACCTCGGCCTGTTGCGCACTTACATTTACAAACTGCAGCCTGCAATGAGGACATCTTCCAGCGCCGAAACGGTCACTTCTTTGCTCCGTTTTGCATAGCCTTTTGTTGAAGATTGGAGGTAGAATGTTGCTGGTCGATGCCGAACGATGAGTTGGAGTTACAACCATTGTGAGATCTAAAACAAGGGATTGTTACTTTTAATAATCAAAAAACGCGCATATACCAATAGAAACGACAAAATTTATAAACCGAAAAAAAATATTCAACGGTATGACAAAGTAAACGACACGGGGGAGTAATGACTCATTTTACTATATTTTCACCGAATATATATCGCTGCACAAAATTCATTGCCCGTTTGCGCAAATAACATGTCCAAGAGAGGAAGGTCCGATCAAAAATGGGCGGAGCCTGGGAACGGGGAGGGTCGGCTGGGATGTATCTTCTCGCGCAATAAACTAAAAAGACTTTAAAAAAATAAGGAATTCTGCAAGGAAAATGCATAAAAAATTTGAGATTACGGATTTTTGACAAATAAACTTTATACTTTTAGTATTAAAGTTCTGATCCAAATGAAACTTGTCAGAAACTTGAATTAATATTATATTTTGTAAAACAGAGGTCATTTCCCTAGCTTGCGCTTTTGCAAAAACGGCCGAGGTTTTTAGATCCAAGGTTGGTGTAAATATGACACATTTTTTGCTATTATAACTTCTACCCTAGGGGGAAAATCATTACAAAAAAACAAGTGTGAGATTCCTAGCTTGCGCTCTAAAGAAGCGGCTGAGATTTCTAAGTCAAAATGTTGGCTGGTATATGGAGATTTAGGGCTAAAATTCTGACTAACTGAAGTGTGTCTCATCCCCGACATGCATGCTAAATTTCAGCAATATCAAACAGTTTCCTTTTCAAAAACTGATTGAGTAAAAGGCAAGAAGGACTTTTGCTTGAATTGCGTCGGCTTCACAGTCATCCAAGTACCTCGGATGACCCGTAAAAGGCCAGCTGAGTTTTTCAGAATTCTTGAACACAGCTATAACTTATGTGAAAGATTTCGAGAGGGCGCTGGACTTACTCTCGCCACTAAAAACTAGGTTCCCGTGGTTGGTCTAAAAAATGAAAGTCGTGGCTGTAATCGAAAATTTTAATTGGATTCTCCACGCCCTCTGAATAGCCCTTCCAGCCACACTCTGCTTACTCAAAACATTACCTAATCGGGGATGCAGCTAAATAGCTTAGCAGGTCATACCTTGAAGCGTTTCGACCACCTCTCGTCCCAGCCCTCTGCCCTGACGTCCACTGAAAATGAATGGGTGTTGCGCAACCCGAAACGCGAGTTGGGAATGGAAATCGAACAGGTAGCATGGATGACTCGAGGTTATTATGTTCAGGATTTGGGCAGGGTAAACAATGGGTGTTTTGGTTACAAAAATAGTAAACGATCCAGATGTCTGGAGGGGGATTATAGTCTGGATGTGTTCGGATTGCAGGAAGGAGGAATAGACGAACACAAAAAATATTTATATTGGGTCTGAATTATGTACTTATAAGGTAGTTATACTGCAAATAGGGGAAGGATCCCAAGTGCGACGCTCAGAGTTATGTGAAAATTTGCGAACACAGGCTACATATCAATTCCTACAAGTTTAAAACTTTGCAACGATTTTTGCGGCAGAGAGAGTATGCAAAAAGCGGAGAGCGGTCAGAAAAACACTTCTTGGCCGTATCTTTGCCAGTCTCCTGGAAAAAAAATAATTTTATGTGGAAACATTACCTTATACTGTAGAAATAAGCATCAGACTTTTGATGCCCAAATTTGAAAAAAAGTCCCAAACTTTTGCTCATTTCGGACCTAAAAATCTCGGTCGTTTCTGCAGAACCCGACCTAGAAAATTCGGATATGCTGTAAAAAAGAATTGGCCTAATTTCATCAAAATCTGAGCGTCGCACTTGGGGCATTCCTCCTATAAGTTGGTGTAAGAAGAATAAAAAAGATCAAATTTCGGTACCAGGCAAACCTCGCAACCGCAAGTCCACAACAACAAAAACATAAATCCCCGATCTCGTCCCGATTTTAATGGGCTTTCGGGAAATGCGCAGCGTGATTTTACAAAACCCAATAAAGCCGTGACAAATCTATTTCAGAAACTTTCAAAGAGCTCGCTTCCCGACAAAACGGATCTGCGTACTTTCTAAATTTCTATAATGTGATGTTTATATATCATAATATTTTCAACGATTAATAAATCAACTCTTAGAGCAGTGTCATATCATTTTTCTAACAAAAATGAGGTCCGAGGAGCCAATTAAAGTCCAGAAATGAAACGAAACTGTCGCGATTTTAGTCGGCTTATTAATTACCCACTTCTGACCCGAATTCCGCTCGCAAATCTCTGCCGCCAGTTGCGAAAATACAGAGAGCGGCAAGAGACTTGGTCAAAAATCTCAGAGACTTGTTTTACTGGGGATGCTTATAAGAATGTGTTGACATTCCGCTGGGATTTGAGTTTTGGCTTACAGAAGAAGTACTCCAACATCGATGCTTAAATTTTGATGAAACTAACACAAATTTAGACTGACTTTTTATAAGTTATATCCGAGATTCCTGGCTCCGGCTTTAGAGAAAGGACCGAGATTTTTAGGTCAAAAATTAGTTAAAACATGATACTTTTTTGCGAATTTTAACATGAAAAGTTTTGTTGTTTCTACCGTAATGGGTAAAGTTTATGGCAAAAATAAAATTTCTACCGTACAAAAGATACGGCCAAAAAGTGTTTTATCTGACCGCTCTCCGCATTTTGCGTACTCTCTCGGCCGCAAAGATCCATGAATATCCCGGCTGTGCCTGCACAACAAAGGCCAAAATTTTGAGAAGTTCATGTGTGGGGTATGCTCAAAATGTATGCAAGATTTAATGAAAATTTGGGCGTCGCACATTATAACTCTTTGTATGTTATAAAAATCTCCATAGATTCAAATTCCTGCAACAGCGCAAGTATCATGTTCCAATAAAGCGAGTTGTAAATCCCTTTATGTGCAGCTGTCACAATGCGGCGCCCAAAGAAATGACTGGGTCTACGTTTATCGCGCTGTATCGGATTTCAAGCCCGATCCATTAGAGTCGTAATTTTTGGAAGGGGTCTATTGATTCATATCTAAATAATATTATATATTATAAAATTATGGAGTTTTGCCGTCAAACTTTATTGCTGACATAATTTTAGCGGCACTCCTGACAGTCAAAAGCTCTTATCAACGCAAGCACACATTGGGCTTTTAAAATCTCGAAAATTTGCGGTTCAGCGGGCTATTTCAATCTCATACAATTAATAAATATTAAGGTGCGAGGGACAGCACAAAAAAACCTATTGCACGGTGCAAAAAGCCGAAAAAATCACAGTCCAAAATGAACCTGTCTTTTTTCGCAATTCATGTCGCCGAAATCACTCCGGCGACTCTGCGAACGGACTAGTACAGCTGCCGTTTCCCCTTCCCGTTTCTTGTCCATTGTGATTCCACTTGGCTTGTTCAAGAAATCTTTCTTATTATTTCCGATGCTTAATTAGGCCCGCAAATTAAAGAAAAATGCAAACGAAAGCATCGGCGCAAATTTCAAACCGATTTTGGCCAGGTCAAGTGTCGCAATGTGCGCTGAAGAGTGTCGCTCGGCATGAGTGGATAATGGTCGAGAAATTGCTGTGGAATGAAGACCTCGTTTAAACTGACTGACGCGGCAATTCAAAGCAGAATGATCGCCCTTCCACGGGCTTAATTAACACCAAACTTTTCTAATTGCCTGAAATATGGCCTGCAAAAGGGGCTGCATCAAGTTTAGCACATCTTCAAGCGGATCGCGGCAGGTGAGACATGGCGGTTTGAGCAAAAAACAACACAGAAAATATTGTTTAATCGCTGGCGGATCAGCAGAGATAAGCGAGCAAATTGTCCCGACAATTGGCGCATTTCCTTAACCTCAGATCGCCTCTTTTGATGCCGACTTTTGAAGGCTTTGCTGTTGTGCAATCAAAAACATTGCGCTGGATTACATGACTTACGAGCTTGGGCTGGAATAGATAGGGAAACGGTAAGAAAAAAGTGATATTGGCTTGCCGTTTGTCCTGAGGTAAATCGTGATAAATAAGAGCTGTGCAACGTCAAGGATCCAAAAAAATTTTGCGCCATAAATTTCGAAACCGAGCGGCGCTCGTTGTCGCACTTCACTATATTTCACTGCGCAGTTGGACATCGTGTTTGGACAATGCGACAATTACGTTGAACTGTTAACACCGCCGACATAAAAGGAGTATCCTGGCCATATTTACGGGATCTTTTCTTTGTTTCATAATTGGATTAATAGACAAAGAACGAGCAGTTTCCGCACAACACTTACGGCTCTTTTGTGACCCGGTATTTCATCCTCAAACGTCAGTCCCTAACATGATACTGTACAATACAAAGCACACAACCCCATAATTTCGCCTCCATTTCCCAGATTACATTAATTCCGCTGTATTTAACGTGTCAACGAGCCCATCGAACGGGTATTACTCTCGACATGTTCGCGACCTCTCGCTTGATTAATCTCATTCAGCCGTTGCGTAACTCTTGCGCTCTCGACCAAACAAATGAGATACAACGACGGGGTTAGATAATAATGAACATAATAAAAATTTGTCGGCAAGTCGCTTTAATAAACCGAGATTTTATGGAGAGGCGTAGAGAATGAACTCTCGGCATTGATTGGGCTAGAAAGGCAATTATTGTTTTATCAAATTGCTTGGGAAAAGGCCTAGAACGGTTTGAGATTTGCTTAGCGTAGATAGAAAAAGTATTGCAGGGAAATACTCCGAGGGCGACGCTTATTATTAGATTTTGATGAAATTTGGCACAAATTTCAATTTTTTTAACGAGACATTTGTGAGATTCCCAGCTCGAGCTTTTTAGAAATGACCGAGATTTTCAAGCCAAAATTGGACAAAAATATGATTCTTTTTGCAAATTTTAGAAGTATAGAAGTTTCATTCCTGTTCTTACTGTCGTTGGTAATGTTTCCACAAAAAATCAGCTCTCTCCGCACGGAGCTGGCAAAGATACGGCCAGAAAACTTTTTTCTCTTTTTCCGTTCTCCATGTTTCGCATGTTCTATCGGCTGCAAAGATCGTTGAAG